TTCTTCGCGGTGAGTTACAGGCCCTCAGAGCTCCTGGATGTCTGTGCGGAGAGGCCGCACCCGGGCAGAGGGGCTCGGGGGAACCCTCGGCCGAGAGGCTGCCTGGCCTCTCCAGGGCCGATGGACGGACCCCGGACCCCGGACCGTCTCCAGCGAGTGCTTAAGGAATGCCGCTTGAGCTGTGTGTCCCAGTCTTCAGCCAAGGCTGTTCCGGGCAGCGAGGGTCTTCTGCCAGCCTGGCACCTTCCTTGCCCTTCCATCATCCATGCCCATCACAATATTATTTATTCCCTTTGGAGGAATAATACCCTTGGGGGTAAGCAGTATTATGCCCATTGGGCCACGCAAGAAATAGCAAAGAAAAGGAATGAAAAAGGCCAGGGAAAAAAAAAAGAAGCTAAAATCGGTCTACACCATTCACTGTCTGTCTGTCTGTCTGTCTCTCTCTCGGATCTGATCAACCCCACCCAACCACGACTTCCTCAGTCTTCCTTCTCCACCCATTCGCTCTGCCTTCAGATGTTGGTGTTGCAATGCAGTTTGATGCCTTCTCTCTCCTTGGCCAAGTCACCTCAGTGGAACTCCATCCTGGTCACTCCTTCTGTATTCAATCTACATTCATTTATCATCTGTTCAGTCTTGACCCTAATGGTGCAAGCCTTTTGTGCAAAATTTGCTCCCAGGTGGAGGACCAATGAATGGAACCGGCTGAGATGGCGGAGGTCATGCCTCGTGATGTTCTTTGGAGGCTATTGAGCCTCTGGAGGTGCCCTGGGACTTGTGCGCTGGGCCCGTGACCCACCTGGCTGGTGAAGATGGCACCTGCCAGCCTGGGGGCTTGATGGGAGGGGGACCAGGTGGGTGCTCTCCCCTTCTGTGGAATCCCACCCTCTGAGGTGAGGAGGGATCCCATTCTTATGCCCCTTCAGAAAGCTGTAAAGACATGGCTTTTCCAGAGGGCCTTTGGGCACTGATTCTGGAGCCATCAATGCAATTGTTAGTCCTGTCATGGTTACATGTAGTGTAAATATTAGATGATGATGATGATGATGATGATGATGATGATGATGATGATGACGATCATTTACACTGTAAACCACTTAGAGTCCAGTTGGATTGTGGTGATGTACACATTTCAGAAAGAAATAAAAGCTCTTCTTGTTTCATCACGCAGCTTCTCAAGTACCCTTTTCCCAATGTGCTCAACTTACTGGCCTTTATATTTCAGCCGACATACCTCTCTCTCACAACCCTGTAACAGCATGGGGAGAGACGCACCCTCGTACCCAGACAGCTCTGTTTTTTCCAACCAACATTCATTCCTCTACCTTTCATCCACGCCTTGACCTTCTCTATCCATTCCCCTCTTAGGGACTGTATACGGATTCTGTTGCTCTCCTTTTGTGTACCTTGAAACGGTTGTCACAGTCAGACCCAATTACCTTGGCCTTTGGTACTGTCAGAGTCAGTCTCCTGGCTGCATCCTACACTCGCTTTAATATTTTCTGCAAATCAGTCAGATTCTCAACCAGCAACGTGGCACCATCTGCGTAAAAAACTGCATGTATGTTCATATCCCCTGTTATCACCACAGGAATTTCTTATACTTTTGTCAGGACACACACAAGCAGCCACGGAGACCACCAGAGCCTCGTTTTGCTCCATGCTCAGTGCTGAACCATTTCATATTCTCATATGATGGTTGGCTTTCAAAATGCACTGCTACTATCACGTTCAATAGCCAACTTTCAATGCCATATTCATACAAATATTCCTTAATTTAAGCCTGTTCATTCTATCACATTCTTTCTGCAAACCAGACATGTACAACGTTCGTACATTTCTTTCTGGCCTGCTAAAGGCAACGCCTGTCCAGGTAAAGTTGCCTCCTCTCCCACAGCGGATCCCGCAGCAAGTTTTGTACTCGCTTTTGCTCCCCTTCCCAGCTGCCCCTGGTGAGAGGAAGAGCAACCTTTTCCCAGACGCAGGGGACGTTGAGCAAGTTGCACCGCCACTCCACAAACAAGCTAAATCCTGTTGTACGTTAGTCCGCACCAGCAACCTCAACGTTGTTTCCAATGTTCTCATAGCATTTATGATTTTCTTTTCATCCCGTTTTTCCTGGACACAAGCACAGGTAGCTTTCCTTTCGGCTCTGATCATGCCTGCACTTCGATTTCATCCCAAATGATCCAACCACTTGGATCGTGAATTCTGTTCCTCTGCTAGAAACTCCTTTATCTGGCCCCCTTCCGCTCCTTTTAATATTAAATGTGTCCTGCTCTCTTTGACTAAATTAATTTTAAACAACTTTTTCTTTCTGCAGACATCACGCATCTTTCTTACGTTCTTTTTTTGTGTCACCTTCTCTTACATGGATTCTTTTCTCTTCCACAGCTTCCCTCACTTCCTAGTTCTACCAGGCACGCTTCCCATCAGAAACATCAAGTTGGAGGTACCTCAGAGGTCACCTAGTCCACCTCTCTGCTCACCACAGGATCCACTAGAGCAGCGTTTCTCAACTTTGGCAACTTAAGACGGGTGGACTTCAAGTCCCAGAATTCTGGGAATTCCTGCTGGCTGGGGAATTCTGGGAGCTGAAGTCCACCCGTCTTCCAGTCGTTGAGGTGGAGAAACGCCCCACTAGGGCATCTCTGCCGACGACCGTCCGGCCTGCCCGGAGTCCTGCAGTGAAGGAAATTCCGCCCCCCCCCCACGGGGCAGCCGGTTCTGCCGGCCAGCAGCTCCCGCGGCCAGGAAGCGCCTCCTGGTGTCCCGCCTGCCTTGTGGTTGCAACCCCGGGCTCTGCTCCCGGCCTCCGGGGCCCCAGAGAACAGGCCCACTCCCCCTCCTGTGCAGTAACTCCTCAGATGTTTGAACACTGCTATCATCTCTCCCCTCAGCCACCTCTTCTGCAGATCCTTTAATTGTGTCACGGAAGGCAAACTCAGCTCTGAGGAGGAGGCTCACACTTTACTGAAACAACAGTTGTTGCGTTCCAGCTTACAAAGGAAGAGGAACTGGGAACAATAGAAAGGTAAGACTTTTTGTAATAATTTAATTGTAGAGCAGGAAATTCTAGGGCTCTGATTTGCCATCAGGAACTTGGGAACCTATAAGGAAAACTGACTGGGGAAGGTTCCCGTGTTATTGCTAAGGAAAACCACATGTTTTAGCGGTGGCAGCAGCACTGGAGACAGCCATTTTCTCTGGTTAACAAGGGGAGGTATCTGAAAGTGCGGCTTCTGCCCAACAACAGGACATTTGCAACATTTGCATCAACATTTGCATCAACAAGGGCTTGTCTTTCCCCCTGAAAACTGTCCAGCAAATCAGCCCCTCAGGATTTCCCACCTTGCAGCCCCCAAATTTCTATAAAAATCTTGCTTCTCTATTGTCCCAGGTTTCTCTTTCTCATAGAGCTGGGAAGCAACAATTGTTGAATAAAAGTTTGGTTCTTTCTCCTTTGTGTTGTGTGCCTTCCTTTCAACCTTTTCCGTGACAAACTCCCTCCTCCAAGCCCTTGATAAAAATATTGAATTGCACAGAACCCAGGAGAGACCTCTCTGGCCCTCCACTCAATACTTTTCACCGAGCTGAAGTGGACCCATTAATATACACTCTTGGGGTGTGGCCTTCCAGCCTAATGAGTCCATCCAAGAAAAATGTTTTCTCTAGGAAGGAGAACCTCATGCGGTGTTCTGTCCAAGGCCTTGCTGAGGACCTGGTAAATTATGTCTCCAGCATTCCCCAGATCTACTACACTAGTGACTCTCTGAAAAAGCAAGTGTTACTGTATTATTATTATTATTATTATTATTATTATTATTATTATTATTATTATTATTACTATTACTATTATTACTGCTACTGCTACTGCTACTGCTACTGCTATTATTTCAAATCTATTAGCCACACAACTCCATTGGACTCTGGGCAGCAAGTAAGGTTAGTATGGCACAATCTATGTTTGACAGACCCTTGCTGGATCTTGTTCATTGTAGAATGCCTATCCAAACCCTGCATGATAATCTGTTCAAGGATTTTGCCCACTGTAGATGCCAAGCTAACAGGCCTGGGTCCCCCCCTCCCCCTCTCTGAAGATGGGAATCACACTTGCTCTTCTCTTTTGGGACTTCACCAATCCTCCAGAAGATCTCAAAAGTTACTGAGTTTGGTTCTGCAATCATCTCTGCTTGTTTCCTCCATACCCTGATGTGCAACCCACCTGATCCTGAAGACCTGATTTCATTTAAATTATCTATGTCCTCTCTTACCTTCTCCTTGTTTGTCTTAAGCTGCGGTTCCCTCCTTCCTCTAGTGAAGTTACCAGCTAGAGCTATGTTTCCCTTCTGATCAAGATCAGAGGGAAAATAGGAGGCAAGCAGTTCTGCTTTCTCGCTGTCACCCATTACTGCTTCACCACATTCTCCTCCCATGTTGGCTTTCCTTTCATTTATAAACCCTTTTTTATGTTGTTTCTGGAACCTCTCACAACCCTCAGCTCATTCTGATTTTTGGCCTTTCTGATACAGTTCCTACAGCTTTTGAGCTACACTGTGTTCATGGAATCACTGACTCATACTAGTGTAGAGTGGGAAGGACCATGAGGTTCAACTAGTCCAATCCCCTGCAAAATACATTTAAATAAATAATGATAATAATAATAATGTGCAGAAATCAACTAAGTCATTCATTCCTGAGAGGTGGCTGTCAATGCTCTTCTTGAAAACCTCCAGAGATGGAAAATCGACAACCTCCATAGGTAAACTTTTCCACTGTTGTATGGATTTTACTGTCAGGAATTTCTTCCTTACATTTAAAGAACATCTAGATAGCTGCAACCTATTCTGGTCCTGGTCTCAGTGGCGACAGAAAAGAGTTCCTGACCCTGTAGCTTCCCTTTTTGTACTCGAGCATGACTATCATGTCTCAGCTACTTCTTCTTTTCTCCAGTCTGGACACCCCAGGTTCCTTCAGCCGGTCTCCAAAGGGCACGTCCTCAAGTCTCTGCATAATCTTCACTGCCCTCCCCTGAACCTGTTCCAACCTGCCAATATTCCTGCAAAGATATGGTGCCCAGAATCATGCACGGTATTCCGGGGTGATCTCCTCAGTGCAGAGCAGAGAGGAATAAGGACTTTGACACAATGCCTCTTCTGATGCAGCCCAGAAGGGTGGTAACCTCTCTAGCAGCTCTCTCACACTGTCGACTCATGTTCAGTTTGTAGTCTATGATGTCCCTCTGATGTACTGCTATCAAGCAATAAATCGCCCATCTTGTATGTATGCCCTAAATTTTTCGTCCTTAAATGTCAGGCCTTACTTTTCTCTCTGTTGAAGGACATCTCCTTCCTCTCTCTCCAGGCCTTCAGCCTGTCCATTGTATTAGATTGCAATCCCATTCTGTCATGCGAGGCTTGGCCAGATCTCCTAATGTGGTGTCATTTGCAAATTTAGTAAGTGGCCCTCAACCCCGTTATCCAGGTCATTAGTAGTTGGGATCCTATCTTACTGTAGTGCCATCCAACCGCACTTCAGCAGCTTATAGGGAGAGGGTCACATGGAACCACGTCAAGTTTTGCTGAAATCAAGGGAGATTACATTTTTAGCATTCCCCTTGTCCGCTAGAGTGGTTACCCTGTCAAAGAAGGAGGCAGGATTTGTCTCACATGATCTATTCTTGACAAAGCCATGTTAGCTCTTAGCAATCACAGCCTTGTCTTCAAGATGCTTACAAATGGCCTGCTTTATTACTTGCTCTAATTAATTAATTAATGTTAGGCTCACTGGGCCATAATTACTGGGAAACCTCCCCCCCCCCTTTCTTTGCTTTTCTCCGGTCCTTTGGCACCTCCTCAGTTCTCCAGGACTCCTCAAAGATAAGTGACAGAGGTCCTGGTGGCTCTTCAGCCAATTCCTTCAAGATTCTGGAGGGCCTTTCATCAGAAGGGCCTGGGGACTTGAGGACCTTCATATTAACTAGAAGCTCCTTTGCCAGGATTGGCAGATACAAGGATATTTTGCCAGCACTTCACCCATCCATGCTGGCTGCTGGTCCATTTCTGGGTCCAATTCAAAGGGCTGGTTTTGACCTTCAAAACGGCTTCAAGTGGCTCAGGAAGGAAGTGCTGTTTAGCCAGACCTTGAGACCGTCTAAGGAGGCCCTCTTCCAGGTCCCCACCACCACCAAAGGAGGTCTTAACAAGGGGGAGAGCTTTCTCTGCGGTGGCCCCCATGGAATGCCCTCCCCAGAGAGATTCGACAAGCACCCACATTAGCATCATTTGGGTGCCAGGGGAAGACCTTGCTATTTTCCCAGGCTTCTTAATTGTATTTTAATCCTATTCTAATTATATTTAAATTTTTATTGTTTTAGATTTTGTCAACCACCCTGATGCTGCCTAATGTGTACAGTGCCATTATTTTATAGCTGATTTTATTTTATTGTATATATTTAAACTCAGTTTTGCTTTCTTTTTCTGATGGGCTATATTGTAAACCACCTAGAGAGCTTCAGTTTAAGTAAACAAATTACCATATTCTATTTATTTATTTATTTATTTATTTATTCAATTTGTATGGCTGCCCATCTCAACAAGTGATTCTGGGTGGCAAAAAAAATTAAAAATAAAATAAAAACAATCACAATAATACAAAAATTAAAAGACATAGCAGACGAGAATAAATTATACACTGTAATCAATAACGGGGCCCCGCAGGGCCCCAGGCCTGGGCACAGAGCCAGATCTTTAAGGGTTTATGGAAAGGCAGGAGGGTCAGAGCCACCCTGCTCTCCAGAGGGAGAATGCTCCAGAGGGCGGGCAGTACAGCAGGAAGGGCACATCTTCCAGCCCCCGCCAACTGGCATTCCTTAGCCGACCGGACCCTAACCCTAACCCGTCCTGCCTGACCGGATTGGACCAGACAGGTAGAAACCACTGGGGAGAAATGGTCCCTCAAGTTACCCGGCCCCAAGCCTTGAAGGATTTTAAAGGTGACAACCAGCACCTTGAACTGCACCCAGAAGCACACTAGCAACCAGCGCAGCTCATGGAGTAGTGGTGGTACATGCACTGAATAACCGGCGCCATTTGCTATCCATGCAGTTACTGTATGCTCTTCAAGGGCAGCCCCAGGTAGAGCACATTCCAGTCGTCCAAGCAGGAGGTCACGAGAGCCTGAGTGACCGTGAGCAGGGCCTC